CGGTAGACCGCGAGATTCTGTGGCAGTGTCTGTCATTGAAAGGCGTACCTCAGAAGTACATAAACCTTGTAAAGGCTCTTTACTCGAACACTACTAGTCGAGTCAGAGCTTATGACGAACTGTCATCTACTTTTGCAACCTCAAGTGGTGTCCGTCAAGGCTGTCCACTTTCTCCATTTCTGTTTAACTTCATCATAGACCTACTGATGGAAATAACATTCTCGTCGACTGAATTCTCCGGTATTGATCTCCTTCCAGGAGGTCCACTTATCGACTTAGAATACGCAGATGACATAGTCCTGTTTGGTGAAGACGCTGACAAAATGCAGAGTCTTCTGGTAGCACTGAGCAACAATGCCAGGATGTTTGGAATGCGCTTCTCTCCCTCGAAATGCAAGTTGTTGCTTCAGGACTGGTCTGCGTTAACACCTGAACTAAGGATAGGGAGTGAAGTAGTCGAACGCGTTGACAACTTCACTTGTCTTGGAAGTCTGATCAGCCCTAATGGGTTGGTATCGGACGAAATCTCAGCACGGATTCGAAAAGCTCGTTTGGCTTTTGCCAACTTAAGTCACTTGTGGCGAAGGCGAGATATCCGTCTACCAATAAAAGGACGAGTATACTGCGCGGCAGTCCGTTCTGTCTTACTTTACGGCAGCGAAACATGGCCTTTAAGAATAGAAGACACCCGTAAGCTACTAGTATTTGACCACAGATGCCTTAGAAATATTGCTGGCATCTGCTGGGATCACCGGGTAAGTAATAGTGAGGTTAGACGCAAGGTATTAGGGAATGATGGCAAATCAGTTGATGAGGTTGTTAATCTTCATCGACTGAGATGGTTGGGCCACGTGTTACGTATGCCTGAACACCGATTACCACGTCGTGCAATGCTAACAGGTGTTTGAGATGGTTGGAAGAGAATTAGGGGCGGCCAAACCAAAATGTGGCATCAGTGCTTGAAGACACTAACCTCTAGTCTGAGCCATGTTGACAGACTACTTGGTTGGGGTCCGCGTGACTTTCGTAACCAATGGTTGGAGACTCTTTGTGACATGGCTCAGAATCAGTCACAATGGCGTCGGTGTATACACTCCCTGTCTTCCCTTAAACTAAGAGATTAAAATCGCTTCATATCTTTCTTTCTACGAACTAATTCTATATTCCGGTACTGTATCCTTATATGCAATCTTTCTCCTATATATTACCACCTTTAACCTAACCACTCTTATGAATCTGGTGTTCATCTTGCTGTGCTAATGAGGTATGGCAAACTGGACCGATGCACATGTGTGCCTGGTCCTACGTTGTAGCTGACTGACTGACTGACTTGAATTTACATAACTTTGTACTATTTCAGTGACGTTTGATACAAGGTCAAGACGTAAATTTAAATAAAATACCACACCTAGAGAATAACGAATCTACCGACAGAAAAAAAACGCACTAAAACTTACCTAAATTACCCTCAACAATTACTCCAGCACAATATCCAACAATTATGACAGCACAACAAATCAATGCCTTTGTTGAAGTTTTAGTATTTAGCAAGAAATAAGTAAATATCTATTAAACAGAGAGAAGAAACAGGAAACTATCATTAACTGAAAAGAAAAGGTTCCAAGAAAATATTAACTGAAGTATTAGGACGTCTTGACTCAAGGATTTGTATTACATTGTCTATTAAAAACTATGTCATATCCCATAACCAAAGACCTATTTAATTAGTATCCACAACGAAAAAATGGATAACAGAAAAATGTAATTTATAACGTAACGACATCTGCAAAACACACTTAAAGGTGTATTTCTCTTTAGTAAGCTTTCTATCATAGCTTAACAATGATAATATAGATTTTTAAATGAATCGTACAATTTAGAACTTGTATTCGTTAATTCAATAACAAGCACATTCATTTTAAGATGTTCGGTAGAAGTAATAACTGATCACGGAAATTAAGATAGTAGAGAGTGAATAGAGTTTTCATTAATGTACAGTCACGATGAAATGTTGGTTCAAATACAATAATTCCTTGTTCGATTTCTCAAGTTTGTGAAAATTTGTAGGTAATTTTTAGATAAGGATAGTGATTGTTACTGTGGAAATTCTTGGAAAATAATTAAAAACCCTGCAACGAAACAGGAGGTACATAAGTAAAATATGCAACGACCTGAAAAGTTAGTCTATAAAAAACGGATCTATTCGGATTAAGGCTATGTAGAGGGGAAAACAACAAACAGCCTTATTGTGTACCTACAATCTAGAATCTGGAATAATTTGTCCTAACTACTAGATAATTTAGCTTACATGATAAAATGTGATTCAGGACTCCAATTTCAAGTTATAAACCCCTTAGCTTCTAATCAACTTATCTACTGTAGATACAGACTACTTGTTTGGGGTCAGCGTCACTAACGTAACCAATGGTTCGAGACTTTGAGTGACATAGCTCAAAATTGATCACCATGGCGTAGGTGTATACACTCTCTGTCTTCCCTTAAACTGTGAGATTAAAATTGCTTCATATCTTTATTTCTACCAACTAATTCTTTCTTCCTGTACTATGTCCTTATACACGATCTTTCTTTTATATATTACTACCGTTGAAGTAACTACTTCTATGAATTCGGTGTTTATCATGTTGTGCTAATGAGGTGTGACAACTTGGACCGATGCAAATATGTGCCTGGTCCTACGTTGTAGCTGACTGACCAACTAACCACTCTCATATGTTTTAGTCTCATCATCTCGAAACATTTGCATATCTGAGTTAGACTCAGTATAAACATAATCAAAACAGAAAATATAAAATTATTCAGCATGGATACAGATGGAACATTTCGTATACAACATGGTTATAAACAGCAATGTATAATAGCTCACGACTTTATAATAACAATAAATGCAAAACTTTATGGATATGCATACCTCAAAGCAGTAGGATGTTTTCAACGAATCGTCTCTCAGGGTACGACTATTTAAAGTAGGTGTGATTGATATACATTCATTACTAAGGCGATTTCTATTATTTGCAAGTCAATTACTTTATTCGAACATTATCTAAACTAATGATAAGCAGAAACGTGGTCATGGACCCACAGATTGAATGAACAGTTATCTATATTAGCCCGTTAAATTGACAATCGAAAGAGACTACGTAAATGTTTATTTTTTTCCTGTTCGGCTTCATTACATTGAAACTGTTATTATTAATGGTAACACTTCCATTTTCAGTTACTTAAATAGTTCTTCCACTGCTTTATTAAAACCTGTCCTGTGCACAATGAGAGCCATGATCATTAGTACTTATTATGGAGGAATACTTTAGACAAAGCCTGAATAAGTGTTACTTAGAACTCCCCAAGGATTAAACGAAAGTGCTTAAAACTACCAAAGATAAGAAACATGAACTGTAGTATGCTTTTGTAGTTTGAATAAATAGATCAATAACAATGAAAAATGTCATAAACCTTAATTATTCAAACATATCCTATGGAACCTAAGCGAATGTGTGTTGCTATTATTTACACGATACAAATCATTATTGTAACATTTGTTGTCGGTTTATCACAATCATTTACTATTTACATTTTCTTACAAAACAGTTACTCATTGATTATTAGAATTTCAACACATTGGAAACTAATTGACAGACACATTCCTTATTACCATGGAAAGAATTAGTAATGACTTCAGAAAATTTCGAACAGTTTGTGTAATGTTGTTATTTAGCACCAATACTGGAGTGACAATTAATTACTTAAGAAGCCATCATATTCCAAGAATTTGTAGATCCCGAAAACTCTAATGCTAAAACGGAAACTAGTAGCGCAACATACGATACAATTTAGTAAAAAGTTGAGTACTAGAGAACAATCTTGATAAAAAGTAACTGGAAAACTTAAGTTAACAAAAACCACTGAATACTACACCATCATGCTCCTAAATGTGTTAACCATGTTTCAAAACTCTCACAACAGTTGATTAGAATGAACGAGGATTATTTGATCACAATAATATTTGGAGAAAGAAACAGAATTTTTAAACTTAGATTATCATAAGAGGATACAATTACTACAACAGTTCAGTAAGTAGGCTCGGCTGATTAGACCTCGATCAAAAGCATTTTGATGACGTAATGAACACATTTATGAATTACTTGCCGCTTACATTTAGCGCTATGAAACTACTCCATTTCCAAGTTTGATAAACACGAATATTTGCCTTAATAATTGACAAGTAGCTGTACTGTGACTTAAACACAGAACTGAATAAACAACAAAAATGAAATTAAACTGCCAATGAAAAAGGTGTCAATCATTCGTTAGTGATACACAAATAACTTACAACATTGAAGATTGTAGTTAGTGATCGTGCTAAAAAGTAGAACGAAACACTCAAGTACTTCAGGCATAGGTTGTTAAAGCAGACCATTGAAACAAATATTATAGACAGTGGCAAGATCTGAAAAATAATTTATTAGTGACTTGTCACCTACTTCAATCGACGTTTTAAAAGAAAAGTTCAACTGTGGAAACTTCACATGACTAGGTAACAGCAGAGCTAGATACGATGTTAAATAACATAGAAATGCTGTAACTGCACATTGAAACCAAGTAATAAATATCGGTGCATTTAGCTGATTAAGTAATTTTTGTTTATTATTAACCAGTGATGTTAAGTACTTACCGATACGGACTTATCACTCAATAACCATTTGTTTATAAATACCAAGGAAATGGAAATAAACCTTAAAAGTATTTTTTTTCAATTATCATAATGGAAACACAACCTACCAATATGCAGAAACAACACAAATTATTTTTTTAATCATCCTTCTTTCCCTCTTTGGTAAGTACATAGATTCAAAGTATCTAGTGATGCTTTACTTACTAACTTTGCATCACATTCACCTTTAAACACTAATAAGAGAACTAAAATAAAAATCATTGTATGAAAAATAAAAATTAACAGGACAGCAAAACAGAAGGGGAGTAAATGAGTTAAAAGTTTTATATTAAATAAATCGATTTGCTAGCAAACGACTATCACATTCAATTTTTATTATGTGCTGTCCAGGGATAACAACAGTGGTTAAATCTCTTAGCAAATTGTCAGACGCTGAATCAGGTGCTGGATACTCTGTACACGAACCCATTACAATATTTCCAGCATTATCTGTGCACCAAAAGGTTCCAATATATCTCCGACCATCCGATACATGGACAGTAAGTTCTTGATCGCACAAACAATTTAAGAAGTCTTTAGCTTCATCTTTGGTTTTGAATGAAGGCTCACTAAGAGTCATAAGAAGCTAAGTTAAAGAAAAAATTAACCAATTATAGGAGGGCTGATTAAAGTTCTAAAATTGTGACGTCTGTGAAAAATAAAGCATTTTCAATAACAAATTAACGATGATATAATTTCAATCAACAAAAAGTATTGAAAAATTGTTCATTGACCCTGATTGTAAGAAAAAGAAAATAACATGATGATAACGAAAGCTGAAGTATTGTTATTAACTGCAGTGAAAAACTAAAGAGTATTATCCAAATTCGTTACTTAAACACACAAATACTAGCACAAGGAGACATAAAATATATATGTTCAACACAAAGCATTTGGCTGGCGTGAAGGTTGAAATAATGCCCAAACGCCTGAACCGAAACAGGAATGTATGGAATGTCGCTGCCAAGGAAACAACTGGATCACAACAAAAGTTGAAGTATTGTTATTAATTACAGTGGAATAATAGTTCCCGTCGAAACTTAAGGAGAGATAACGAAAAGTTTATGTGAGCCCATTTATGAAAATTAAAATAAAAACGAGAATGAGTAATCAAGGATGTAACTCTAGTAATGGAAAATGTATTGGAGAATAGGCGAGAATCTAATTTATGGACGACCTTTGAACGAATCTTGAGTGACCTTGGGAAATAGCGGTCAATCAGCAAACAGTCAGTATAGAGTAAAAATATGTTATACAAAACCAAGGAAATAAAGTGAATACACTTCTTATACGTAGTTCAAAAACTTGTCAAGGTTAGAATGAGGTTCAAAGGTTATAAAATCGTAATTCATCCAGTAGAGGAAATCATCCATACGGCTACTGAATAGTCGGCTTCTGGAGTCATGATAAGGTCTCAAATACTCCTTCAGCCTCGACCACATAGCTTCAATATTGTTTATGTGCACTCCGGTTGTTGAGTACACAAAATGCTGCTTGTGGACAACGAAACGATGCACATGACCAAGCCTATGTAGAAACCTGTACGCTTTCCAAACATCCGTATATATTGTAGTACCTGGCTGCTGTCAGTGTTACTTGTGCTTTTATTATCCAGTTCGCAATAATTGTCGCGATTTGCCTTGGTTAGGAATTATATGTAGGGTTTTCATCACGAACTGACACCAGCTATATTGCCAGACGTTTATTTGGCCAAATGGATGAAAGGCTTTCATGTTAAAATCCGAGATCTATTATCTTATACCTGATTGATTCGTCCACAAATTATAGTCTTGCCATTTTATTTGTTATAGCCGCTCAATTATCACGTTTTGTGCAAAATTCCCTGTGAACCGATCGTACGTTAGCATTAAGCACTGAAGTTGGTGCCGTAACCCTGAAATCTCTAAAACGCTTCTGATTGGCTCGTCCATATATTAGAGTCTTGCCGACGAAGTTTACCATATCATACGGTTTATCTTCCCGTTATCGCTTATTTAGATCGCTTGTTTGGACACCAAACTTGTAGCCACTGTAAAAAACACGGAAACAACTATGAACATTTGAAGACTTCCATACATAAATTGTAGTCTGTATGGAAAATGATTCGGTATTATCGAGATCGTGGGAAACACAACTACTCCCTATTGACTTTTAGGAAGATATTCTGAGTTTGGCTCATTATCTGAAGAGCCATAACTCCAAATTGTTTATATACGATGCTTTTTGGTGCGTCTTACAACAAAGGCGATAGGTTTACTAACCGTTGGGTTCCCCTGATGTCAGATATTTTCACTGAAAAACTGAACACATAGGCTATTTTTACAATTGTAATCGATACTATGTTCAACTAAGATTATTCGAAGTACACAGCATACCTAATTGGCAATAAACACTGTATAAATGTGATGGACTCACGACTCTATAATCGAGTACGCGGAAAGGCCTTGAGAAGATAAAGATCCCTCAATGGTAGCGCGATATACAAAAATTCCTCATCCTGTGACGAAAAACGCCAAAAAATATAAAATATTTTCAAGTAAACGTGAGTGATATGGATTTGGCTTTTTAGACTACTTGAACACACGTCTTAAATGAAAAGATTTTTCGACCTCATTTTACATCTTGACTCAAGTGTTACTCACTTAAAAAAAGCTATTCGCTAAACATTAACTGAAAGACTCGAAGCACTTTCTTTGTTTTCGTAGTCTTGTAAAAGAATTTTTAATTTCCTAATGTTTCCGGTTGATGTACATAAATTCACCTGGCCTATGTTGCTACAAACCGTTTTTTTATAGAAATCATGTAAAGATACCACAAGTATTCGGAGTTTAACAACGCCGTTACCAGTGCCATCTTTTGTAATCGAAACGTGCCAACACAGTTAAATCAAAGGTCAGGAACGAAGGGGTTCGAAGATATATTTATAGAATACCGATATATCGAGAAGTGATCAATCTAAGCTGGTTAACGGTCGTAGGAAGTGGGAAGAATGGCGTACCCACTAGTGATCTGGTGCGAATGCGAGACCGAGCACCTCCAGATAAATGAGTTTGCTAAAACTGATGCGGTTAGCATCAAATGTCAAAGACTTACAGAGCTATTGATTTGGAGATTTATTTACCGCTATACTGGCACCGTCATCATTGTGATAGAACAATTTGTCGATTTGTAGGTCAAGATTGAGAACAAACGAGACAAATGTGATATCTAAATCGCCTAGTATGAGGTCGGCTACATTTTTTCTTCTTTTTGGTTTGCAAGCGGCGGTAACGTTGATGCTTTTAGCCACTTTGACAGCATAACTTTACACCCGATCCTAAGCAATTTTACTCGGTCCTATTTACAGTGTGAAAAAATTGTTTCCCTCCTCACCCCGGAAGAATAAGTTGGAACGTATCCAACGACGAGGCATAAGTCAGTTGTGGGACTGAAATTCAGACCCTATGAGAAGCGCCTTAAATCACTGAACCTCTATCTATCACAATATAGTCATCTTAAACGTGACCCTCTAATGAATTACAGCATCTTAAACGCTTCCAGATATCCTGTTAACCACCTACTTAATCTCAGTCACAACACATACCTTAGAGGTTACATCAAAAAACTAGGGGCACAACACAGCAGAACGGTATGTAAAATACCTTCTACTCGCTAAGAGTAGTCATATTCAGAAATTCGCTGCCGGATGAGCTTGTTCAACTGACTTCTTAATAGTCCCTTAATTCCTCATTACATGAAATACTAAATACCCTACTGCATTGAAAGTAATGCAGAATGAGATACAGCCTAAAAGATGACCTACACCCTACTTTTAAACAATCACATGAAATTGGCTTTCAAGTGTTGAGACTAATGAAATATGTGAAGTAAATACTTTAGTTGAGTTTTACGTAGTAACCGTGTCTAGGAGGTGAACGGATTAGTATTAAGTGCGAATTGGATTTGTCATTGTGCGACTACCTAATATGTAATATCTTACGTGAAAGTCTTATCATTCTCTATACTGACTCATCCCATGTGTCCATCAGCAATACAACGTCTAGCATTTCTAAAGAACACATCTAGACTAGGACGAGGGTAATATATTTGATGCAGAAAGCGAGAGGCAATGTGATCACGCGTGGGTGACCAAGCCATGGCATTTCTATTTAGTCTTCTGACGTTCACCACTACCGACCTCCTCCAAGTTTTACATCTCCAATGTCAATCTCAGTAATCATATATCCAGGATCTATAATCGTGTGGTCAGGAACCAATAGCATTCTTAACTCGTCATTTATTCTTACTTCGAATGCTACATCCATACCGAACCCATGGACCATTAGCATTGACTGTGTGACATTATAATGACACGGTACTGGTAAAGTTGGGGTGTGGAACATAGTGCTATCAATGGGCGGAATACTTGGTCGAATCTTTACCTTAATATGGCCTAACATCCAGGAGGAAAACTAGATGACAAGACGATATAGAATACTAACTAGAAATATGCAAGATAACATATGTACAGGATTGTCGAAGAAACGGCTTATCTTTACAAGAAGTATGGCGTACGCCATTGGTGATTCAACTTTCTGAATGTCAGGCACATATAAATGATTCTACGTGCATATCGATTTGGTTAGACAAAAAAGCTTCATTTTACTCCTCATTTTTTCAACCGAATAAACTATTGGGTTCGTGCATACGAGGTCTGAGTGTCATATCAGGCCCGAAAGCCACGCATAGCAACATACTTATCGGTAAAATATGATGCTGATATTGACAATTTCTAACCAGTCGTATCTGTAGGTTGAAGACATTTGTTCAAGTTCTTTATGACTGGAGTTAAGGAACTGTTCAGTGACGGCGAGGTGTTTCTCCTACATTTGCTGCTACTATGATTCATGTTCTAGAGCTCGGGTTCGGCTCACTATTATCTCAGGGTAATTTATAATATACATATTCGAACCTCTACGCCGAGACCGAAACGTTGTCAACTGATAAAAAATAGAATAATTAATAAAGACGCATAGTTGGAGAAGTGTTGACTCTTAACCACGCCACAATATTCGGCCATTGTTAAATAGGTGAGGCAAGTGCCCAGCAAATTAATGTATTTTTACAATCTCATTGATTGTTTCGTACTCATTCTTACAACTGATTTTGGACTGTTATCTTTGTACTCATACGTGCTTGTGAATTTCTGTATATATTTATCTGGCAGCCATGTCTGGCCAAATCTAGACACTGATTTTTGGTTCAGGATATTTCTTCTATACGTGTATAAAGGCACCTTATATACATGCATGTTTGTTTTAATATGCTTCGCACACACTTATTCATTCATTCGTCATCCGTTCTATCTGTTCGACCGCTTGCTTTCAGGAAAAACTTGTTTTAAATAAAACGTTTCGAACGACTCATGTGACGATGTGACTACTATTTATCCTTCGGTAATAATAATAGGTCTATCGACCTATACTAATACTTTCAGTTCGTAACACTATGGAGGTCGAAACTCGTTTTGAATCTATTAACAGTAGGTGCTGATATTAATTGTTCTGGCGGAGAATTCCAGTAATTCACTACTCCGTGCGAGAAACGAAACTACAGACATAGACGATTTGATCTCGGTTTTTGAACTCTCTCCGAATATCCTCTCATACCGTGAGTAGTGTTCATTTCAGTGATTAGAGCAAATTTAATTCTGTTGATTTGGTAATAAGGGCCTTACAACAAAATAAAGAAGCAGATACTTCAAAAACAGACCACGCTTGTGATGAAAATCAGTTTGAATTTGACCTACTGATAAAGCATTTCATAATGTCAAAGATGACACACTAAGACTTGATATTTGCTTAATTTAATCGAATTCAGTTTGTTTGATCGGATATAATTTAGTTGTGGGTTGCTAGCGACTTATATGTTGCAAACCTCAAAGTCAAAAGTAAGAAGCTAACTGGACCTTTATCATTATACTTTAATTTATAAACTTCACTCCACCCAGTACTTGCTATCCGGTGAATGTACAATCTATTGGTAATATATTATTTACGTCCTATACTGTCTGCATAATAAAATTAATTGTGTGAATAACTTCTTTCATCTGAGCTCAGTTTTTTTAGGATCGGAAAAATCTAATGTTTTGGTTCCGAATATATCTAGATGATTCAAATGACTGTGGATGGAATAGAAGAAGCTTTCACTTAACGAGCCTCCATGTCTAGTAGCAGTGGATCACCAATACCTCCAGCCAGGAACCTAGGTATGTTAACGATAGTAGAGGGGAAAAAGAAATTGGTAAATCATAATAAGATGTTATCTTTGGTCCTTAAGAATAGATCAAGTTTTCTCTTAAAGGACTCCTGGGAAGTCGCTTGGACTAGTTCAGTTGGCAGCGAAATTCAGCATTTGACAACTCTTAAAGAGTAGAAGTTGTGTCTACAGTTTGTTCTGCTATGTTCTGCCTCCAATTTTCGGGTGTTACCTTTTAGGTTTGTATTGGGACTAAGCTTAAGTAGGTGTTTAAGATGTCCAGAAGTATTAGGGATACTGTAAGCCATTAGAAGGTCACCTCTAGGACGCCTTTACTCTAATGGGCAAAGGCTAATTGACTGGAGGATCTCTTCATAAGGTTTGAATTTGAGTCCCCGAACTTATTTCATGGTTTGCCGTTGCATACGCTCCAGAGTGTCCATATCCTTTTGGAGTGAGGGAGGAAATTCTATGTTTCCGTACTCTAAATGGGGACAAATAAAACTGTTGAAGATTATTTGGAAAGTTCTTCCGTCAAACTGGCCAAAAATGCGCTACAACGTTACCAGTGCAAGGTTTGCTCGAATGGCATTTTCGTCACAGTTAGCATAAGACTTTAAATCGTGTGGCACCAGGGCTCCTAAATCTTTTTCGACTTGGGATACTACTACAGAGGAGTTTCCTAAGTTGTAACTGTAGTTTGCGACATGTCGCAGATGGACCAATTTACACTTTGAAGTGTTAAAGGTAAGTCCATTATTGTCTGCTCAATTTTGAAGTCGAGTCAGATCCTCCTGAAGTGCCTGTATATCGTTTTGGTTGCGTATCTCTCTCCAAAGTTTCACGTTGTCGGCAAAAAATAATAATTCTGACGTTACCTGTTGAGGAAGATCATTTATGTGTATCAAGAAGAGAAGAGGTCCTAGTACTGAGCTCTGGGGGACCCCACTAAGACATTCCATAGCCTGAGATAAAGTGAAATTAACCTTGACCTTAAAATGTCGACTTTCCAGGTACGAAGTAAGCCAATCGATTAGAGGTGGTCTGATACGCAATCGTTTGAGCATATTAATAAAACATGTATAGTTAACCTTATCAAAAGCTTTTGAGAAATTTAGGTAGACGATATCGACCTACCCCTTGTGATCAAGGATGCTTGTCCATCTTTTCACCGCGGTCAGCAGGTTGGTTATACATGAGTAACCCTTCCTGAAACCATGCTGTTGGGGTGAGAATAAATTTAAGGACAGTAAATAGTCGTGTATACCATCGCATATCAAGG